AACCAGCTCTTCAAGAAGTACTGAAGGAGTATCCTTTCCCATCAGGAAAACCAAAGAGGGACAAACAGAAATTAGAAGAAAAATCAATAAAATGACAAAAGTCAACTGAAAGTGTATCAAAGATCTAAGCCTAAAACCTCAAACTGTAAAACTACTGGTGGAAAACACTGGGGAAACTTTGGGAAACATTGGGGTAGACAAAGACTTCCTAAATAATACTGCCGAAGTGCAGGCAGTAATCCCAAAAATAAACAATTGGGATTGCCTCTGATTAAGAAGTTTCTGTACAGCAAAAGATACAGTAAGTATTGTTAATCAATAAGATTAGAGAAGATTTTTGTAAACTATGCCTCAGATAAGGGACTGATAAGCAGAATACACAGGGAACTCAAGCAGATTATCAGAAAAAAAAATTATCAACCCAATTATAAGACAGAAAAGTTAGCTGAAAATACAACTAAGACATACAAACAGCCAAAAGGCACATGAAAAAAATTATCATAATCCCTTATCATAAGGGAGAGATGCAATTCAAAACCACAATGAGATACCACCTAAACCCAGTCAGAATGACCAACATTTAAAAAAAAAAAAGATAAGTGCTATTGGGAATGTGCTTATAGGGGAATTCTCCTACACTGTTGGTGGGAATGTAAATTGGTCCAGCCACTGTGGAGAACAATATGGATATTCCTCAAAGATCTACAACTAGAGCTACCATATGATCCAACAATTCCACTCCTGGATATCTACCTAAAGGACAGGAGAATGCTTAGTCAGAAAAGTGCTTGCACATCCATGCTTATTGTGGCATTATTCACAGTTGCTTAGACATGGAACCAACTCAAATGTCCATGAACAGAAACATGGTTCGAAAAGTACAGCACATATGTATGCCACAAAAGTATGACACAGAAATGGATTATTATCTGTTGATGATAATGTGTACAGTATCCTCAACTGAACTGATGTGAACTGTATTCATGTTGGAAAATTCACTTTATAAGCCAAGTGATGTATAGTGATTGAATGTATAAAAGAAATTAAAAGAAAAGAAAATATTTTAAAAATATATTTTTAAAAGTGGCTAATAAAATGGAAGGGACAAGCCTGCAAATATCAATAAAAAAATTGAATGTTAATGGATTAAATTCTCCAATAAAAAGACACGGACTGGATGAATGAATTTCAAAAAAACAAAAACCTCTATTTGCTGCCATCAAGAAATGCACCTCATTGATAAAAACATACATAGACTAAAAGTGAAGGGCTGGAAACAGATAATCCATGCAAATGGAAATCAAAAAAAGGTTGGAGTCATGATACTAATATCAGACAAAATAGACTTTAAAACAAAAATTGAAAGAAGAGACAAAAAAGACATTACATATTGGGTCATTTAAAAAGTCATGACGCCTTTTTGCATAGAAATGCAAAAGGAGAGAAAGACTGAAACGCAGTAATCATTGGAAATCTCAATACCCCCAGAACCTCCTTTGGACAGATGATCTAGACAAATACTAATAATAATAATAATAAGCAAAGAGACACAGGATCTAAATGACACCATAAATGAAATGAACTTTACAGACATCTATAGAATTTTCCACCCAAATATACATTTTTCTCACCACGGCATGGAATTTTTTAGAAGATTTACCACATGATAAGGCAAAAAAAACAAGCCTTTACACATTCAAAAGCACAGAAACTATATTCAGCGTCTTTTCCAACTGTAATGAAATTAATTTCAAGAAAATAACTTCAAATATACACAAACATATGGAAAAGAAATAATCTGGGGATGACTACTGAATTTGAGCTGTGAACAATTCCTTTCAGGGACTAAGATCGAAGATTTTCTGCTGAGACTTGACCCTCCAGGCCCCATTCTAGAGTGAGAGGCAAAACAGAGGTCTTCTGAGATGCCTACCAAATTTGAGCTGTGAACAATTCCTCTTAGGGAATGAGACTGAAAATTTTTGGCTGAGCCGTCAACCTTCAGACCCCATTCTAGCGTAGTTGTGCACCCTTTGTATCCTTCTCTCTGTCTCTTATTTAATTTTTTTAAGGTATTTTCTTGACTCTCAGGCCTGCCTTTATCTTGCTAATTCTTGCCTTTTCATTCTATTCAGGAGAATCAAAAATGCAGATCTTCTGTGATGCCTATTATATTTGAGCTGTGAACAATACCTTTTGCATGGTATGCTCACATGCCACAAGATTTTCATTTTTTGCTTTTTGAAAATAATAATAAAATTTTTTATTGTTCTTTCTTTTCTTTTTTTTTTCCTTTCTCTGTTTTCTTTTCTTCTTTTTTTTACCTTCATCACTTTGCTGCTCAGCCTCCATGCACTGAGTATCTAGACAAGTATAAGTGAACTGTAGACAAAAATTTGAATACTATTAGGGTCAGAATATTCCTCATTTCCCAAAGAATCTGCCACACAAAGGAAGGAAGATTGGAGATCACCTCCTCCTGCATACTGCTGAATGCTCAGATAAACTTCAAGAAATTAGGAAGAAACGTATAACCAGAAATCATTGCAGGGGCACAAGAAATACGAGAAACCAAAAAATACCTCTCCATCAAGGGAAAAGAATGACTCCTCTTCTGGGAACAGCAGTTAGTGTAATGGCTATGTCGCTAAACTCCCATGTAGTCAACCGCGGTTCGAATCCCGGACTCGGTGGCTTAAAACTCATGCTGGGCACATGTGCGTGTGTGCCCAAGATGCTGAGAGGAGAATGGAGGAGAAGGGATTGCAGCATGGCCATCCCCCCTGGGTGGGGGGTGGTCTCTTGCTTTCTGTCTCTCTGTCTCTCTGTCTGTTTGGCAAGCGCATGTGCCCTATAGCAAAAACCTCTCCAAAAAAAAAAAAAAAAATGAAACAAGAATGACTCCTCTTCATCCACAGACAGTACAGTGAAACTCACAACAATGTCTAATAAAGAATTTAGAATATTCATAGTGACAAATCTAGCAGAGATGCAAGAGAAGAGAGACAATGAACTCCAGAAGATGCAGGACAAAAGAGCCAATCAATTCCAGGAGGTAAGAAAGTTCTCACTCAATCTGAAAGAGGAAATACACACCATAAAAAAGAATCAAATGGAATTGTTAGACTACAATACAGGAAATCAAAACCGCCCTTGAAAGTATTAAAACCAGACTAGATCATACAGAAGCTAGAATCTTAGATGTAGAAGACAGAATCACTGGACTAGAAAATCCACCATGATGATTCAGAAAGTAGCCCCCCCCCACAAAAGAGAATAATATACAAGAAATACTAGATACCATTAAACGTCCAAACATCCAGATAATTGGTATCCCAGAAGGTGGAGAGTCTAATAAGGGCATTGATAATCTATTCCATACAATCGTGGAAGAAAACTTTCCAAACCTTGAGAGGCATTCCAGGATCCCAACCCAAGAAATACAAAGGACTCCAAATAGAATCAACCCAAGAAGATCTTCTCCAAGACACATGTTGCCAGATTTGAGCAAAACCACAGATAAAGATAAGATACTAAGATCGACAAGAGAGAAACATCAAGTTACCTGCAAATGATATCCCCTCAGGCTAACAGTGGACCTCTCTTCAGAAACAATGTGAGAGCGGGAAAATGTATAAATAAATAAATAAATAAAAACTATGTGAGCAAGGAAAGAATGGGAAAATATATTCAAGTGAAAAACAATTTCAAACAAGAATATTATCCTTCATATGGAAAGAAAAGACAAGAACATTCTCAGATAAAAGGAACATGAAAGAATTTATCAACACCAGACCAGCTCTCCAAGAAATTCTGAAGGGAGTGCTATATCAGGAAAACTAAATACAGACACACAGAAATAAGAGTTCAAAAACAACTAAGAAAATGGCCAACTTAATGGGATGGACAAGTCCAGAGTTGAATGTTATCTTCCTATTCAGACAGTTCAGACCACAACAGAAGATAAAGTACTTGAGACATGATTTTTTGTTTTTTTGGAGAGGTTTTTGCTATAGGGCACCTGCGCTCACCAGACAGACAGAGAGAGACATAGAGACAGAAAGCGAGAAATCACCCCCCAGGGGGGATGACCACGCCGCAATCCCTTCTCCTCCATTCTCCTCTCGGGATCTTGGGCACGTACGCACACGCGCCCAGCGTGAGTTTAAGCCGCCGGGTCCGGGACTCGAACCACAGTAGACTGCATGGGAGTCCAACGACTGACATAGCCATTGTGCTAACTGCTGATTCCCTAAAAGTTTTACTTTTTAACTAACTTTTTATTATCAGAATCAGAAAGAATGCAAACTTAAAAATATCAGCTCTTTAAGGATTTTTGTCTTTTCTTGAGTTGTCAATAGGTTGATGTACCTACTATTTGAAGGGAATCCTAACCTGTTTCCTGGCTTTAAGTCTTAATATTTTAAAATTTTGATTTATTAAAACTAGAACAGCTTTTATTGAACTTAAAAATATATTTTTAAAACTACCTATTTAATGACAACAGTAAGCCATATAGCATCAGCTAGGTGCTACTGTATAGTATATTCATTCTACTCACAGAGTTCCATGCCTAAAGTCAGACATGTGTTCATAGATATGTATAAATCAGTTGAACTTACTATTTTTTTTTTCTGGAAGGTGAAGTCTTTATTGACAGAATCAACCGAAAATACTATTTTTTTTTTCTGGAAGCTGAAGTCTTTATTGACAGAATCAACCGAAAATTCGTGGTAGCAGAGTGGGTCATGATGTTCTGCCACAATTTCTGACAATCAGATTTGACCTGTATGAACATGGCTCCTCCTAATTCCTTCATCTTTGTCTGACAAAGATTATTTGTACAGAGAGGTTTGTACACTGAAACTACTTCACTCATATCATCCTTCTTTACTCAGCTTTTGGAGACAAATAGCTTGGTTCAAACTTTTAAAAAGGTGATAGGCTAAAATACAGAAAAATAGTTAACTGAAAGGTTATGAGGCCCAATCAAGAATGGCTTAACATTCATTTTCCTCTTTGAACATCTTAGTTAAGTGCTTCATGAGAGCTACTAGCTCAGGGTTCCCACCACCTGCATCGATTTGTTTATAGGCTTTAGATTCAAGTTCTTCAAGAGTATTCCGGGTGTACTGAAAAGAACCTACATCCTCAAGATATTGTACACAGTATTTTTAATATCTATGTTTTCTATTCTCTGACGCAAGATATTCTGTACCTGGGTGCTCTCAGGCTTTGACCAAATAGCATGAATAGTTGGAAATGAAAATTTTCCCTCTGTTAGATCTTCACAAAACCTTTTGTTTTCACTATATTCTTTGGAGTGTAAATTGGCATAATCATCCCTAATTTGGAAAAAGAGCCCAAGCGTATTTAGTAGTGGCTTTAAGTCTTCTTTGTAATCAGAGAACAACTGCATAAGGCCTACCACTAACCCAAACAGCCCCCCTGTCTTCTGCAGCACCATGGCTTTATAATCTTCCTCAGTGGGACAGGTGTAATTATCCTGCCAGTAAATATCCAGGCCCTGTCCCTGATGAAGTTCCAAAAGCTGATGGGTAAAAAGCTTCACTGCATCTGGGTGGTCAAGGGATAAGACTTTTTCCAAACCAAGGAAATAGACATAATTGGCGCAATTGATGACAGAGGGAATTCCATAGATGCTGTGTGCCACTGGGAAGCCATGACGAAGTTCTGAGTTGTCTTCAATATCATCAATGAGTAAACTGGCATTATGCAATCCCTACTTCACTACAGAACCCTCTGCCCTCCTCCGCAGCCAGCAATGCTGCATAACATGGTGCAAGAAAATCTGAACTTGCTATTGAAAGCAGTTAGATTAATTAAGATATTTTGGGAATCAATAAAATGAGGGGGAAGGGGTAGAAAGCAACTGTAGATACCAGAGACAGAGTGGAAGGAGGGTGGGAAATGGCAGAGGGTGAGAAACAGGGGGGAAATTTTATATATATATATGTATATATGGGGGGAAAGTTATATATCTCTGAAGAAAGAAATGCAAAATTATTTGTTGACAATAACATGTATGATTAAGCGACTATACAGTGTATTCTGGATGGGAAATCACATTTTGTATACTGTGATGATGCACAGTGAATGAATGTAAAATAAATACATCTATAATATAAACTAATAATAATCTACTCCTGAATGACCACAGAACCACCAAAGAAATTAAGACTGAAATCAAAAGATGCATTGAAAACAATGAGTATATGAGTTTGCAAAATATATGGAACACAGCAAAAGCTGTCATAAGAGGGAAGTTCACAGCAATTACTGTGCATAAGTAAAAGATGGAAAGGTGGCAAGTAGACAACCTAGTGACACACCTCAGGGAACTAGAAAACAACCAAAAAAAAAATGCCAGGAGAAAATAAATACTAAAGATTAGAGCAGAAATAAAAGAAATAGAGAATAAATTAACTATACAGAAAATAAATGAAACCAAAAGCTGGTTCTTTGAGAAGATAAAACTGACACACTGTTACCTAGACTAATTAAGAAGAAGAAAGAAGGGAACCAGATAAATCAAATTTACAATGAAACAGGTAATAGTATGACAGATATAACAGAAGTAAAAAAAGTCATTAGAAAATACTGAGCAACTATACACCAATGAACAAGAAAATCTGAATGAGATGCACAATTTTCTGGACACATATAACCCACCAAGATTGATTCAGGAAGACATAAAAAGCCTGAACAGACCATTAATAAACAATGAAATTGAATCTATTAGAAATAACTTCCCAACAAAGAAAAGCCCAGGTCCTCATGGCTTCACTTCTGAATTCTACAAAATTCTTAAAGAAGAGCTGACCCCCATTCTACTCAAACCATTTCTAAAGACCTAAAAGAAAGAAACCCTCCCAAATTCATTTTATGAAGCTGCCAACACCCTCAGCCCCAAACAGACAAGGATATCACAAAAAAGGAAAGCTACAGACCAATATCTCTGATGGATACAGATCCAAAAACTGTTAGCACGATACTAACAAATCCTATCCAATGACACATTAAAAAGATTATACACCACAACCAGGTAGGCTTTATTCCAGAGAGGTAAGGATGGTTCAACATATGCAAAACCGTAAGTGTAATACACCATATTAACAGAAAGAAAGATAAAAGGCATGTGATCCCATCAATTGATGCAGAAAAAGCATTTTATAAAATACAGAATCTCTTCATGAGTAAGACCCTCAGTCAAATCAGTACAGAAGGGACATTTCTCAACACAATAAGAGCCATATATGAGAAGTCCATAGTTCATGTTATACTGAATGGGGATTTTCTCCTAAAAACTGGAATAAGACAAGGCTGTCCCTTTCTTCACTCCTTTTCAGTATAGTACTGGAAGTCCTAGCCAATGCAGAGAAGAGAATAAAATAAAAGATATTAAAATGGGGAAAGAAGTGAAATTATCTCTATTTACAGTTGACATTATTATATACATAGAAGATCCAAAAGAATCTTAAATTATAATTATGTTCTGATTGCTTCTATTTTACAAGAAAAACACCACTGGGGAGTCTATTGCAGCTAATCACCAGTCCAGATATATCTTATCTAAACAGATTCTAACTTGCCAAAGCTTTTTTTATTATGAATTAATTTTGGAGGATTCGGTCATCTATCACTAAGTGACTTAATCAAACACAGTTCCTGAGTTACAAACTATCAAAATAGTAAAACCAGGCAAATGGATTATTCAAGAGAGAGAGCAAATTAGAAAAAATAAACAAACAAAACATACTTGATATTGGACAGAAGGAAAAAAAAAAAAACAGAAAAATGCAGTCATGTGCAGTTCAGACAGATGACCTGAATCCTTCAGAAGCACAGAAACTCCGGTAAGTGGTAAGATCGAAAGTATTAAATTGTTGAGAAAGTGAAAACTAATGCAAGTCTTTGACAATAGACAAACTAGGCATAATTTAATTATATCTTATTCTTCTTTTCCTGAGTCATTTCAAGTAGCTCTTCCTTGAAACTGAAAGTAGACCCATATGTAACTAATTACGGAAAAGAAGGTATCTGAGAATCACCTGCATGTTAAAAGACAATCGTGTCACCTTACAGCTAATGACTATTTCATTTACTCATTCCCCATGTAATCAAGGACACTAGTATTCTCTATTTCCATATGATAATTTTTTTCTCCTCTTATTTAATCCAATCTAAATACAACCCACCCACTATGCACAGTTTTGATGGAGAATCCAGTAAATTTCAGAGTCCCTAAATGGTAAATTGAGAATAAATCTTATACATGAGTAGCTCATGAATTTCTTGTTGGCAATAAGACCATAATAGGGAAGTAGAGCAAAGCTGAGCCAGCACGTGGTGAGGTCTGGTGCGTTAAAGACCTTGGCCCTGGGTGTGTTTCGTGTTTCTCAACAAGATATATTTTAAATCCTGCTATTCTGAAAAAGAAAGTTCATTTAGACAAGAGACTCTAAACTGCCATGTATTAGAC